CCACCAACCAGTATGAGATTCATCCACCAAACTGAGGAAAAATCTCCAAAACTGCTTGTGATGATGAAATTGGATAACTGATTGGTGGTTTCAAACATGGCTTTTATTTTCCATTTCATATATGGGATAATCCTTCCCATTGACTTTCATATTTTTCAAGATGGTTAAAACCACCAACCAGATAATGTACGATGTGTTTGTGATGGAAAGTTCAACCGCCAGCCAAGAATCAGGAGGAATAATGGTGGCTTAATGAAAGATCAATGCATGGCTATATGATCTATATGTGTTTTCCCTTTAAAATAGGGGTACCCCTAAATCATCCATTTAAATAGGATTTTCCATTATAAACCATCCATTTTTGGGTAGCCCCCAGTTCTGGAAACCTCCATATCATGGTTTATAACTAACTATAAAAGTACAATTAATCCCGTCCCCAAACAGTACAGACTCCCCAGACCAAACCTAACTTGGTGGAATGATAGTCCAACCTGGCAGTAGGAGATCCTCGTCGCATCCGGAACATCGTAAAAACAGGTCCGGTATTTGCATGTATTTGCATTAATATGTATATATCTATACATACATATATATTTATATATAATTATATATATATGACGATATATACAATGCACATATATATGTATATATATAGATAGAAAGGGAGAGATAGAGAGTTGGTTTCTTAATTCCCATGAATACTATAGTGAAAAATGCCCCATAGACCCTAGAATTTACCAAGTGCTTTGCATAAAGCGAAAACCACGACCGCTTCACCTTGCCGACCGCTTCACCTTGCCGATGGAATCCAACAAAGCACCCCCCACCACGGAACAGTTGTGCATGAAAAATATACATGCATATGTGATATAAACGGAATATCGATGGGGGATTCATGGTTATAGTATGGTTATAGAACACCAATCTGGGTAAATTATAACGACCTCACTGTTCTCCCTCACTGGAATCATGGTTTAGATATAGGGAAATCATCCCAAAATGGCCGCAAAATTCAGGTTAGTGAATTATTGTAATTTACCCAGATATATGGTTTATGGATCAAAACCCCAAACTGGCTGGTGGTTTGGAACATTTGGAACCATGGAATTTCATGTTCCCCAATAGTTGGGATGATGATCCAATCTGACTCATATTTTCAGGGGGGTGGGTTGACACCACCAATTAGCAAATCATGGTTAATGGATGATTCTGGCCAATGGATGGTCTACCCCAAAATATCCCAAAATCATATGGGTTATACTGGACCTTAACCCATATGCGAACCACGGTGCTGGAATATGAATCCCAACATTTGCCCGAACAAAAAAATCCCGAGTGTTGTAGGTAAAACATGGTAAACATATACCAGCACCATGCTTCGCATATGGGTGTGTTGTTAAACCACGAACGTATATCTCACTATCCAACGCTATCGAACGGTGGCCCCGTGGCCCCCGTGGCCTCAGATGGATGGTCTACCCCCAAAACAGTGGACCTCAATGGACCTTAATGGATGCTTATTCCTCCAGTCATATGAAACCATTTCATACAATGTGAGGCCCCCAAGATAGCTAATTTGGTTTATAACTCCAATAACTATGGTTTATGGTACTTATAACTATAGTTACTGAGGCTTATAAACCAACTTATAACTGGGGGGCCTCACATTGTATGAAACCATTTCATAGGTGACTTGACCCATCCCCATATGACTCATATGAATTCATATGACACGTTGTCCTGTCCAAGCATGTTTTTGATTTTTGCTGGCCATAACTTGGAGGCCCATCTCCCATGTTTTATATATGATATATGGATATATATATATATGGAGGTTTCCTAAATGGGGGGGTATCACCAAATCATCCATTTTAGATTTGGATTTTCCATGAAATAAACCATCCAGCGAGCTTGGGGTACCCCCATTTATGGAAATCCTCATAACCAGATGGTTTGTGAATGTCAACCTTTTCTGTCGACCGGTGAATATGGCTCCAGCACCTGGTCAGCGAAAAAAAACACAACCGGCGTTATTACGGCAGTGTATCAGCGATGGGCGTTGGGAACTTAGTGTCATCAACGGATGCATACCCTCTGGTAAAAACGCGGCACTGAAAAATACCGGATCTATAAAATCTGGTTATTTAACATAGCCATGGAAAATCACCATGTTTAATAGGTAAACCATCTATAAATCGGCCATTTTCCATGGCTATGTTAGTCATAACCAGAGGGTAGATGATGTTATCATTAAAACCTCCATTTACACAGTAGTTTTCACAGTATTTTCACATATGTTCCTAAGATTTTCCCATTAAAAGTGGTTTTTCGCGCGGGGATTTTAAATCCCAAAGCCTGATGTCCCACAAAAAGTCGCCATGTGGGAACAAAAATCACCGAGGGTTGGTGCAGCTGGGGTCACATCCCCCGGTCACGTTAAAGGCCTTGGATGATGACTGGGTACGAGTCGTAGCGAACTACCCACGAATCGTTTTTGTGGGTTACCCTCTGGTTATTTAACACAGCTATGGAAAATCACCATTTTTAATTGGAAAATCCACGATTTCTATGGCCATTTTCAATAGCTATGTTAGTTTACCAGAGGGTAGTTCACCCCAGTGATTGACATGGGATTTTTGGAGCGGGTTAATCCATTGAAATCACTGGGGTGAACTATACCCACAAAAACGATTCGTGGGATGAGCCACCAAGTAACCTCCCATGACTTAGGAATTCTCCATATCATTATGATGCTGATTGATGGTTTGAAACCATGGACTTTTCATGACTTTCGATATATTGAAGAATGTCATCATCCCAACTGACTTTTATGTTTTTCAGAGGGGTAGGTATACCACCAACCAGATTGTGATGTCTCAACATTTTTGCTGGTACATTGGAGATCATATGTGTTACATATTTGGTGAGTATTCGAGTTAGTGAGGATGTATGGTTGAGACACTCTTAGATTATTCATGTTTTTGTTTCCGTATTTTTTCCCAAACATGCCCCAAGTTACATTCAGAGACTCCAGATTTCAATCCTATCTCTAGCTTCAAAAACATGGATGGTTTCACCTACAACGGCAGCTTCAAATGCCGTCATGATCTTTTCATGAGGTTGCCAGGAGGATGATTGTGTCATTGTGTTTCTTTTAATGATTACCCTCCGTGAAATATGGGGACTTTCCCATGAAAACCTCCATTCTTGGGGATGTTCCTTTGCCGCGTTTGATTAGCAAAGAGTAACTGCTTGGTGGTTTGGAACATGCCTTTTATGACTTTCCATTCAGTTGGGAATGTCATCATCCCAACTGACCTTTATGTTTTTTCAGAGGGGTAGGGCTCAGCCACCAACCAATGGATAGGTTTAAGGGAAAATCTTAACCGGAAACCATGGATTTTCCCATGGAAAATATGTTTGTTTCCTGATTTTTTTCCCCTTTAACCAATCCATTGAACCAACCAAAGAGTAAATGTGGTGAAAAACACCAGTAAAAGTAAGGGGGGAACCACTTAGATCACGGCTTTTGATGTCCCGCAAGTCGTGGGAATCTCTACCGAACTGGTTGGGTAGGTAAACTAAGGATAGATCTTGCGAAGTCATGGTTTCCGTAGGAACATGATCTATAAATTGTGTTGTTGTTTATATGTATATATATATATAGAGTATTAACTTGCTGGAGGATGTGTAATGTTCCGCCATGTTCTATGTTCTAAGCTTCATCTGCCGGTGTTCGAAAAAGACGAGGAAACCACCAAGTGTCCAATCTTGAGAAGATCTTCGATGGGATTAAATCTTCGAGGTGTTGGTGATACTGTTTTTTTCATGGCATTACTCGGTCAACCGACTGGTTAGATACCAACTATAGTACTTTGAGATGTTGCTATCAATGGTAAAATGAGTCCGAACCAGCTAAAAATCATTTTTTTTGCAGGTATCTAAGTTTCAACATTAACGGATCAAGTTACGTGTAATTATACAATATCTTTTTTGGGGCAAATCAGATGCCAGGTGAGCAGGGTTTTGACCAGCTTTATGGCGATTTTCCATGACTTTGTTAGTTTAGAAGGCAATATGGAGGTTTCCTGAAATAGCCCATATGCTCCATGGTGCTGGAATATTTACCTACATTTGCCCTAAAAATCACCCAAATGTAGGTAAATATTCCAGCACCATGGTGCATATGGGTAGGGGTACCCCTAAATCATCCATGGGATTTTCGGATTCTCCATGAAATAAACCATCCATTCATAGAGGCGCCCCCATGACGTAGGAAACCTCCATATCTGCCATGAAAAAGCCCTGGGCCATGGAGTTCTCTACCCAATTTTCCGCCCATCTGAGTCTGGGCCCCCCGTTCGATAGCGTTCAGTTGAGATATTTTTGTGGTTGAACTATACCCATATGCTCCATGTATGGAATATTTACCTACATTTGGGTGATTTTTAGGGCAAATGTAGGTAAATATTCCATACATGGAGCATATGGGATATGGTACAATAAATATAACGAACTAGTTAATGGGGTTTAAAAACCAACTCATAACTGGGGGCACCATCCTGTACCAATGGAGATTTCCTAGGATAAACCATCCAGTTGGGGATCCTCCATGACTTGGGAAACAAAAAAAACGGTTCCGAAGGAGATCTTGTGACGATAGGTATAGTATCTCTGCTCTTAGCCGCGACCGCAGGAGCCATCAATGTGTTTTTTTTTAAAGTCATGGGGGTACCCCCATTAGTGGATGGTTTATTTATGTTTATTTCATGGAAAATCCGAAAATAGAATGGATGAGAACTGGGGGTACCCCCACGTTCAGGACACCTTCCATATGACATCATATGACTATTGTTAGTATCGTTTAAGTTAAGACATGTATGTAGGAAGCATGTGGTTAGAGTGGATACTGTTGTTGTAGATCTACATAGACTAGGGATGGGTTATGGTTTGAGACACTCCCATGGGCCCCAGAATCAATCGGGGTTGATGGTTGTGCCATGCCTTTCCGCCGCCTGGGGAATGCCAATTTTTGGGTTAAATGTTGAATTTAGGGGCTGTCGATTTCTTGTATGGACAGCACCAGATATGGATATCTCAGAGTGCGACAAAAATCATTCACTGTAAGATCAAGTTACTCATCCAGCTGGTGCTGGTGTTTTTACCTATAGAGTTGACAATTCTAGGAGGAAACACTTGGTAGATATAATCTCACACAATTCTATGTCTTAAAGCCAACAAACAAGAAATTGCCAGTTATAAGTTTGTTTTAATAACCTTACTAACTAATATTAACTAATATTAACCTGTTAGTCATGTCAAATTTTGTCATTTATATCATAGAATTGGATGATGGGAAAATTTACAGGAAAGACCTATATTTGATGGTAAAAACCATGGTTTCCTGTAGATTTTCCCTTAAACCAATCCATTGATTATACCCATAAACCTTAACCAGAATGTTGCTGTTTTCCCGTCCAACCGTCCAAGGTCAAGCTGATTCTTCTGTTGGCATGTCCCTTGGCAGACGCGTTGACGCGTTACGGATCCGTGGAGAAATTTTCCCTCTGTCAATGGGAGATCTTCAGGAACCGATTGATTGGAGGTACCGATTCCAGATATAAGACCTATATAAGGTACAGTACCTCCATTTTAGGATCCTGAAATGACCATTGACTCTGGATCCGTCTGGTCAACTAACAGTTTGCGAACTTGAAAATGGCACTTTATACTTGATTTGCCTATGAAAAAATGGTGATGTCCCATATCTATGTTGCTTTATCACAGGGTATCCATCGATAAGATGGGCGGGTTGTTGTGGTTTGTTGAAGTGAGACTGATTGGAATTCTCATATTTTGTCTTTTTTCCTATTCGAATATGATCTCAATTGAACACATTGGCCAACAGAAATGGAATGTTTCACACGCCTCGTGTGAAAAAGGGCTGGATGGTGATGTTAGTTGATGATGTTTCAATGTTAGTTGATGATGTTAGTTTGATGGTATTATCATGTTCAATGTTCAATCCTTCATGGGACGATGAGGACATGATAATACCATGACACTAGCATACCCAGTCGCCAAAATGACGACTCCTCGCTGGCCGGTGGCTTCTGATTGGTACGGCCATAGATGGGTGAAAAGCACCTAGTACTATACAGGATGGTGCCCCCAGTTTTGTTTGTTGGTTTAAAAAACCCCAATAACCATAGTTATCTATAGTTATATATATATATAGAGTTTATAAACCAACTTATAACTGGGGGGCCCCATCCTGTATAGTACTAGTTATATATGGGGATGGGTCAAACCCTTTTATTACCATATTTTGGGGAATAAACATCCATTAACCAGCTATTTTAGGGTACCTAGGGAACCCAACGGTGCCAGGGTTTTGACTCACAACTAATAATCATATCATATTATATATTTATATTTATGTTATAATCTACAATCAACCAGGCCGTATTTATACATATGTATAAATATGTATATATATATATCTATTTACCATATATATAATATATATATATACAATAAACCAGGCCTTATTATTGGAGTTATGTTCATCAACTGATCAAGTTTAGCAGCCAATTGCCCATCTTTCATGGCCCAAAAAATAGCTGGATAAACCTGGAAATAACAGGAGTAAGTGAGTGAAATTCCAAGAATCATTCCAGTTACAATGACAATTTATCACTCGACGTTAGACGTTAGACACCATTTACGTTTTCGTTTTTGGTTTTTGTTGATGCGTATTTAGATAAATTATAACAATGCCACAGGCCGAGCACTGAAAACATGGTCCAGGACAAGCATCCAGGCATATGAGATATCACCCCAAACAAAATCCTGATCGAATGTATTCGATCGTTTTTTATCATTTTGCCCATATGTTGAGTATCATTGAGTATATTATTTAGTAAATGTATTTGAGTTATATTCCGGGAAGACCTTTTTCCCCATCAATTGCCTGGTGCTGTGAGGGTCGCAACTCAGGCAGTTTTGGAGTGGTCCAGTCGCAGGTTGCGGGACTGGATGGGACTGGGTACTTTGCCACGGTCCCCACGAATGGTACATGGGTTACTGGTTGGTGGTTTGGAACATTTTCCCTGGTTAATCTATGGTTAATAATTATGGTTAATAATTGGAATAACAATATTATATCTGGTTGGTGGTTTGGAACATGGCTTTTATTTTTCCATATGTTGGGAATAATAATCCCAACTGACTCATATTTCTCAGAGGGGTAGGTATACCACCAATCAGGTTATATCTACCTTCTGTTTTACATGGATCACCACTGAAATATATTAATATGGGGATATATGGGAATTAATGTGGGAAACCACTAAGTGAGACGCACACCCAAGTAGAATACCCTCCAGTCAAACATGTCAAGTGACAATTTCTTGAATGACGGTTTTAATGGGAAAATCATCGAACTAAGGGGATGTTCCAGCAAGCCATGTGATATTCTCAGAGAATAAGTATTTGTTTGTTGTCATACATCGGGATGCACTATATGTATAACTGTATATGCCATAGTGCCTGGTCAAAGCATGGGAATTTATATATATATATGTAAAGTTATATATACCCAGTATAAGGATTCCCATTATGGGATGGATGGGTTCATATCCGAAAAATTAGGGGCGATACCGATACCACAAATTGCAAGTTGAAGGGAACATTATGTTCAGATGAATTGCAATTAGGGGTGCTGTACCCCATGCTCAATCAGACTCATATACGGGTGTACTGTGGCAGTGATTCTCTTTTTTTACAGTACCCAAATGTTGATGTGAAGTGCAGACATTCCTGCAGTTTGCCTGAACAAACACAGATCTTTTACATTAGAGAATCGGAATTGTTTTCAGTACCCTGTATATCGAAAATAAGAGCCTTATAAATTAAAATTAAATGCAATTTTTCACTCTCAAGAGACTTTGAGACCAGCTTGTTTTTTTTTCTCCTCCCCTTGTGCACCGGGTAAATAAAACACTGCCCAGGCTCGCCAAGATCGCTGTAGATGATCGATAACGGGATTAGGGGAAGCCCATCACGAACAGATTCCATATGTTCCATTCATTTCCATTCAAGGCTGTTGAAATATAAAATTGGAATAACACATGTATATATATATACACATACATACATACATACATACATACATACATACATACATACATACATACATACATACATACATACATACACACATGCATGCATGAATGCATGCATGCATGCATTACATTCCATTACATTACATTACACTACACTACAGTACATTACATTACATTACATACATACATAATCATACATACATACATAATATCAGGATAGTATATGATAGATTTTGGGTAAACCAATTGGTTTGAAATAGTACTATCGTAGTGAGTTTAGTAAAGCGATATTGTACTTATCCTGGTTTTTAACAATATCAGTATAGTATGATAGTAAGATAATAGTAAGGGTGCAAACCAATTTTGTCTATCAATAGTAGGTATTTTCAAATATGCCCAAGTTAAATACTAACTATTACTGATCTGAATAATCTAAAAGTAATACAATCAAGAGTAATATTTCCTGATAATCAAAGATAATCATTATCCTTGGTTATCAGGAAATATTACTCTTGATCGTATCTTTAATATTCAATTTGCAACTTTAGCAATATCTCCAGGTTGCTCGCTTGGATATGATCGAGACTGGAGCACAGACTTGGACTTGAATTTTATCTTGAAATAAAGGCCATCAGCTGGACAGCGAAAGCCGCTTTACTGTGAGACATTAAAAAAAGTTATGTTTTGGATGAGATTTTCCAGGTGATCTCAAGTGGGACTCAGTGGGATTTTTTACCTGAGTTTCTAAACAATTCAGAACAAATCCCCAACCTATGACGAACAACGAAACCGTCCCCAGCCATCGATTCCAATGGTGGTTGTTTCAACCCGACGAAACCGCAACAGGTCGCGACCAACCCCACCCACTACGGCAACCCAAGCACTGGCTGCGAGTCGGATGAGCAGGCAGTGAGAGTGCAGGGACTGCCCGGTGACTTCTGCAGTCCCAAGTGCGACAGCACTGGCAGCTGCCCAAGTGACGTGCCAAAGGGTGACACCGCCACTCCTGAGTGCGCCCTCCGCACCACTACCGGTGACAAGTACTGCGCTCTGATTTGCCAATCTGATTCCGACTGTGGTAGCCAAGTTGCATTTCAGATGTTTGTTTTAAAGAGCATGAACGAGAGAGACAGAGAAGCTTGCACACAGACTTTTTTTTCCCTTGCTTGTTGACACTAGGTATGTTGCCATTCATGCCAGTTGAAACTTGTGGATTCTCGCAAGAATATACATATATATATATATAGTATGGATTGGGGGCTGGGGGCTGAGGGCTGGCAACTTGGAATAAATCGTGGATTTCCACATCCCACCAGGAACCGGATCTTGCCATAAGATCATGGGTGTTGGCCTTTGCACCTATGACGCAAGTGAGAAGTTGGCAGTCGAAACGACAATGACCCAGGCCCGATAAACATGCGTTCTTGGAGGACGATCAATGTTGACAGTAATTGTGGTGGGAAACAGAAGTTCTGGTCCGTTCATTATCTTTGAAGTCCGGGTAGTGGGACTATAGTGCATTTCCAATAGTGTTTGTTTCAATTGGTTTCTCATTTTTCAACTTGATATATTTTCATTTATATAAATATATATATATTATAATATATGCAAACGGATACTGGAGTACACTTTACCCATCTTCACTACAACAGGTAGAGCATTTCACGGTTTTGCTGGCAGCATTCATTCATTTGACGAAGTTGCAGGTGGCTGTTGCAACCAACCCCACCCACTACGGCAACCCAAGCACTGGCTGCGAGTCGGATGAGCAGGCAGTGAAAGTGCAGGGACTGTCCGGTGACTTCTGCAGCCCCAAGTGCGACAGCACGGGCAGCTGCCAAGGTGCCGTGCAAAGGGGTGACACCGCCACTCCTGAGTGTGCCCTCCGCACCACTACCGGTGACAAGTACTGCGCTCTGATTTGCCAATCTGATTCCGACTGTGGTAGCCAAGTTGCATTTCAGATGTTTGTTTCAAAGAGCATGAACGAGAGAGACAGAGAAGCTTGCACACAGACTTGTTTTCCCTTGCTCATTGACAGTAGGTATGTTGTCGCATGTTGCCATTCATGCCAGTTGAAACTTTTGGATCTCGCAAAAATAAAGTATGGATTGGGGGCTGGGGGCTGGCAACTTGCTATTAGAATGTATCCATGGTCTTGGAATAAATCGTGGATTTCCACATCCCACCAGGAACCGGATCTTGCCAGAAGATCATGGGTGTTGGCCTTTGCACCTATGACGCAAGTGAGAAGTTGGCAGTCGAAACGACCATGACCCAGGCCCGATAAACATGCGTTCTTGGAGGACTATCAATGTTGACAGTGATTGTGGTGGGAAACAGAAGTTCTGTTCCGCTGTCAGTTAGTTCTCTTTGAAGTCACAATGGTGGGACATTAATTTGTGCATATAGTGCATATGAAATACGCGTGTGTTTCTCATTTGTCAATATTGCCTATACAATCTTTTACACATACACATGTATTTGCAAACGGATACTGGAGTACACTTTACCGATGTTCACTAGAACAGGTAGAGCATTTCACGGTGCATTTTGATTTTTCTCTTTGCAGACAGCATTCATTCATTTGACGAAGTTGCAGGTGGCTGTTGCAACCAACCCCACCCACTACGGCAACCCAAGCACTGGCTGCGAGTCGGATGAGCAGGCAGTGAGAGTGCAGGGACTGTCCGGTGACTTCTGCAGTCCCAAGTGCGACAGCACTGGCAGCTGCCCAAGTGACGTGCCAAAGGGTGACACCGCCACTCCTGAGTGCGCCCTCCGCACCACTACCGGTGACAAGTACTGCGCTCTGATTTGCCAATCTGATTCCGACTGTGGTAGCCAAGTTGCATTTCAGATGTTTGTTTTAAAGAGCATGAACGAGAGAGACAGAGAAGCTTGCACACAGACTTTCTTCCTTGCTCATTGACAGTAGGTATGTTGTTGCATGTTGCCATTCATGCCAGTTGAAACTTGTGAATTCTCGCAAAAATAAAGTATGGATTGGGGGCTGGGGGCTGGCAACTTGCTATTAGAATGTATCCATGGTCTTGGAAAAAATCGTGGATTTCCACATCCCACCAGGAACCGGATCTTGCCAGAAGATCATGGGTGTTGGCCTTTGCACCTATGACGCAAGTGAGAAGTTGGCAGTCGAAACGACCATGACCCAGGCCCGATAAACATGCGTTCTTGGAGGACTATCAATGTTGACAGTGATTGTGGTGGGAAACAGAAGTTCTGTTCCGCTGTCAGTTAGTTCTCTTTGAAGCCATGGTGGTGGGACGGTGGGACATTAATATGTGTGCATAGTGCATATCCAACATGTGTTTGTTTCAATTTGGTTCTCATTTGTCAGCATTGCTTTTACATATATTCATATATTTGCAAACGGATACTGGAGTACACTTTACCCATGTTCACTGTAACAAGTAGAGCATTTCACGGTGCATTTTGATTTTTCTCTTTGCAGGCAGCATTCATTCATTTGACGAAGTTGCAGATGGCTGTTGCAACCAACCCCACCCACTACGGCAACCCAAGCACTGGCTGCGAGTCGGATGAGCAGGCAGTGAAAGTGCAGGGACTGTCCGGTGACTTCTGCAGTCCCAAGTGCGACAGCACTGGCAGCTGCCCAAGTGACGTGCCAAAGGGTGACACCGCCACTCCTGAGTGTGCCCTCCGCACCACTACCGGTGACAAGTACTGCGCTCTGATTTGCCAATCTGATTCCGACTGCGGTAGCCAAGTTGCATTTCAGATGTTTGTTTTAAAGAGCATGAACGAGAGAGACAGAGAAGCTTGCACACCGACTTTTTCCCCTTGCTCATTGACAGTAGGTATGTTGCCATTCATGCCAGTTGAAACTTGTGGATTCTCGTAAATATATAATCAGTATGGATTGGGAGCTGGCAACTTGCTACTATAGAATTTTCCCATGGTCTTGGAATAAATCGTGGATTTCCACAGCTCATCAGGAACCGGATCTTGCCAGAAGATCATGGGTGTTGGCCTTTGCACCTATGACGCAAGTGAGAAGTTGGCAGTCGAAACGACCATGACCCAGGCCCGATAAACATGCGTTCTTGGAGGACTATCAATGTTGACAGTAATTGTGGTGGGAAACAGAAGTTCTGTTCCACTGTCAGTTAGATCTCTTTGAAGTCACAATGGTGGGACATTAATTCGTGTCTATAGTGCATATGAAATACGCGTGTGTTTCTCATTTGTCAATATTGCCTATACAATCTTATACACATACACATGTATTTGCAAACGGATACTGGAGTACACTTTACCCATGTTCACTATAACAGGTAGAGCATTTCACGGAGCATTTTGATTTTTCTCTTTGCAGGCAGCATTTATTCATTTGACGAAGTTGCAGGTGGCTGTTGCAACCAACCCCACCCACTACGGCAACCCAAGCACTGGCTGCGAGTCGGATGAGCAGGCAGTGAAAGTGCAGGGACTGTCCGGTGACTTCTGCAGTCCCAAGTGCGACAGCACTGGCAGCTGCCCAAGTGACGTGCCAAAGGGTGACACCGCCACTCCTGAGTGCGCCCTCCGCACCACTACCGGTGACAAGTACTGCGCTCTTATTTGCCAATCTGATTCCGACTGTGGTAGCCAAGTTGCATTTCAGATGTTTGTTTCAAAGAGCATGAACGAGAGAGAGAGAGAGAGAAGCTTGCACACAGACTTTCTTCCTTGCTCATTGACAGTAGGTATGTTGTTGCATGTTGCCATTCATGCCAGTTGAAACTTGTGGATTCTCGCAAAAATAAAGTATGGATTGGGGGCTGGGGGCTGGCAACTTGCTATTAGAATGTATCCATGGTCTTGGAATAAATCGTGGATTTCCACATCCCACCAGGAACCGGATCTTGCCAGAAGATCATGGGTGTTGGCCTTTGCACCAATGACGCAAGTGAGAAGTTGGCAGTCGAAACGACCATGACCCAGGCCCGATAAACATGCGTTCTTGGAGGACTATCAATGTTGACAGTGATTGTGGTGGGAAGCGGAACAATTAATTCTCTTTGAAGCCATGGTGGTGGGACGGTGGGACACTAATTTGTGCATATAGTGCAAATCCAACAGTGTTTGTTTCAATTTGGTTCTCATTTGTCAGCATTGCTTTTACAAATCTTTTCATATTATTCATATATTTGCAAACGGATACTGGAGTACACTTTACCCATGTTCACTGTAACAGGTAGAGCATTTCACGGTGCATTTTGATTTTTCTCTTTGCAGGCAGCATTCATTCATTTGACGAAGTTGCAGGTGGCTGTTGCAACCAACCCCACCCACTACGGCAACCCAAGCACTGGCTGCGAGTCGGATGAGCAGGCAGTGAAAGTGCAGGGACTGTCCGGTGACTTCTGCAGTCCCAAGTGCGACAGCACTGGCAGCTGCCCAAGTGACGTGCCAAAGGGTGACACCGCCACTCCTGAGTGCGCCCTCCGCACCACTACCGGTGACAAGTACTGCGCTCTGATTTGCCAATCTGATTCCGACTGTGGTAGCCAAGTTGCATTTCAGATGTTTGTTTTAAAGAGCATGAACGAGAGAGACAGAGAAGCTTGCACACAGACTTTCTTCCTTGCTCATTGACAGTAGGTATGTTGTTGCATGTTGCCATTCATGCCAGTTGAAACTTGTGAATTCTCGCAAAAATAAAGTATGGATTGGGGGCTGGGGGCTGGCAACTTGCTATTAGAATGTATCCATGGTCTTGGAATAAATCGTGGATTTCCACATCCCACCAGGAACCGGATCTTGCCAGAAGATCATGGGTGTTGGCCTTTGCACCTATGACGCAAGTGAGAAGTTGGCAGTCGAAACGACCATGACCCAGGCCCGATAAACATGCGTTCTTGGAGGACTATCAATGTTGACAGTGATTGTGGTGGGAAACAGAAGTTCTGTTCCGCTGTCAGTTAGTTCTCTTTGAAGCCATGGTGGTGGGACGGTGGGACACTAGTTTGTGTGTATAGTGCATATCCAACATGTGTTTGTTTCAATTTGGTTCTCATTTGTCAGCATTGCTTTTACATATATTCATATATTTGCAAACGGATACTGGAGTACACTTTACCCATGTTCACTGTAACAAGTAGAGCATTTCACGGTGCATTTTGATTTTTCTCTTTGCAGGCAGCATTCATTCATTTGACGAAGTTGCAGGTGGCTGTTGCAACCAACCCCACCCACTACGGCAACCCAAGCACTGGCTGCGAGTCGGATGAGCAGGCAGTGAAAGTGCAGGGACTGTCCGGTGACTTCTGCAGTCCCAAGTGCGACAGCACTGGCAGCTGCCCAAGTGACGTGCCAAAGGGTGACACCGCCACTCCTGAGTGTGCCCTCCGCACCACTACCGGTGACAAGTACTGCGCTCTGATTTGCCAATCTGATTCCGACTGTGGTAGCCAAGTTGCATTTCAGATGTTTGTTTTAAAGAGCATGAACGAGAGAGACAGAGAAGCTTGCACACAGACTTTTTCCCTTGCTCATTGACAGTAGGTATGTTGTTGCATGTTGCCATTCATGCCAGTTGAAACTTGTGGATTCTCGCAAAAATAAAGTATGGATTGGGGGCTGGGGGCTGGCAACTTGCTATTAGAATGTATCCATGGTCTTGGAATAAATCGTGGATTTCCACATCCACCAGGAACCGGATCTTGCCAGAAGATCATGGGTGTTGGCCTTTGCACCTATGACGCAAGTGAGAAGTTGGCAGTCGAAACGACCATGACCCAGGCCCGATAAACATGCGTTCTTGGAGGACTATCAATGTTGACAGTGATTGTGGTGGGAAGCGGAACAATTAATTCTCTTTGAAGCCATGGTGGTGGGACGGTGGGACACTAATTTGTGCATATAGTGCAAATCCAACAGTGTTTGTTTCAATTTGGTTCTCATTTGTCAGCATTGCTTTACAAATCTTTTACATATATTTCATATATTTGCAAACGGATACTGGAGTACACTTTACCCATGTTCACTGTAACAAGTAGAGCATTTCACGGTGCATTTTGATTTTTCTCTTTGCAGGCAGCATTCATTCATTTGACGAAGTTGCAGGTGGCTGTTGCAACCAACCCCACCCACTACGGCAACCCAAGCACTGGCTGCGAGTCGGATGAGCAGGCAGTGAAAGTGCAGGGCTGTCCGGTGACTTCTGCAGTCCCAAGTGCGACAGCACTGGCAGCTGCCCAAGTGACGTGCCAAAGGGTGACACCGCCACTCCTGAGTGTGCCCTCCGCACCACTACCGGTGACAAGTACTGCGCTCTGATTTGCCAATCTGATTCCGACTGTGGTAGCCAAGTTGCATTTCAGATGTTTGTTTCAAAGAGCATGAACGAGAGAGACAGAGAAGCTTGCACACAGACTTGTTTTCCCTTGCTCATTGACAGTAGGTATGTTGTCGCATGTTGCCATTCATGCCAGTTGAAACTTTTGGATCTCGCAAAAATAAAGTATGGATTGGGGGCTGGGGGCTGGCAACTTGCTATTAGAATGTATCCATGGTCTTGGAATAAATCGTGGATTTCCACATCCCACCAGGAACCGGATCTTGCCAGAAGATCATGGGTGTTGGCCTTTGCACCTATGACGCAAGTGAGAAGTTGGCAGTCGAAACGACCATGACCCAGGTCCGATAAACATGCGTTCTTGGAGGACTATCAATGTTGACAGTAATTGTGGTGAGAAACAGAAGTTCTGGTCCGTTCATTATCTTTGAAGTCATGGTGGTGGGACGGTGGGACATTAGTTTGTGTGTATAGTGCATATCCAATATGTGTTTGTTTCAATTTGGTTCTCATTTGTCAGCATTGTTTTTACATATATTCATATATTTTACTGGAGTACACTTTACCCATGTTCACTGTAACAAGTAGAGCATTTCACGGTGCATTTTGATTTTTCTCTTTGCAGGCAGCATTCATTCATTTGACGAAGTTGCAGGTGGCTGTTGCAACCAACCCCACCCACTACGGCAACCCAAGCACTGGCTGCGAGTCGGATGAGCAGGCAGTGAAAGTGCAGGGGCTGTCCGGTGACTTCTGCAGTCCCAAGTGCGACAGCACTGGCAGCTGCCCAAGTGACGTGCCAAAGGGTGACACCGCCACTCCTGAGTGCGCCCTCCGCACCACTACCGGTGACAAGTACTGCGCTCTGATTTGCCAATCTGATTCCGACTGTGGTAGCCAAGTTACATTTCAGATGTTTGTTTTAAAGAGCATGAACGAGAGAGAGAGAGAAGCTTGCACACAGACTTGTTTTCCCTTGCTCATTGACAGTAGGTATGTTGTTGCATGTTGCCATTCATGCCAGTTGAAACTTGTGGATTCTCGCAAAAATAAAGTATGGATTGGGGGCTGGGGGCTGGCAACTTGCTATTAGAATGTATCCATGGTCTTGGAATAAATCGTGGATTTCCACATCCCACCAGGAACCGGATCTTGCCAGAAGATCATGGGTGTTGGCCTTTGCACCTATGACGCAAGTGAGAAGTTGGCAGTCGAAACGACCATGACCCAGGCCCGATAAACATGCGTTCTTGGAGGACTATCAATGTTGACAGTGATTGTGGTGGGAAACAGAAGTTCTGTTCCGCTGTCAGTTAGTTCTCTTTGAAGCCATGGTGGTGGGACGGTGGGACACTAGTTTGTGTGTATAGTGCGTATCCAATATGTCTATGTGTTTGTTTCAATTTGGTTCTCATTTGTCAGCAGTGTTTTTACATATATTCGTATATGTGCAAACGGATACTGGAGTACACTTTACCCATGTTCACTTTAACGGGTATAGAGCATTTCACGGTGCATTTTGATCTTTCTCTTTGCAGACAGCATTCATTCATTTGACGAAGTTGCAGGTGGCTGTTGCAACCAACCCCACCCACTACGGCAACCCAAGCACTGGCTGCGAGTCGGATGAGCAGGCAGTGAAAGTGCAGGGACTGTCCGGTGACTTCTGCAGTCCCAAGTGCGACAGCACTGGCAGCTGCCCAAGTGACGTGCCAAAGGGTGACACCGCCACTCCTGAGTGTGCCCTCCGCACCACTACCGGTGACAAGTACTGCGCTCTGATTTGCCAGTCTGATTCCGACTGTGGTAGCTGAGTGGCAATATTCAGGGTATTTCTTTAAGATATGAGTGAGAGATAGTGGTAGCGGCGGTTTGCGACAGGCTGCCTCCTGTAGAATTTAATGTGGTTTATGGTGGTTTCTCAAGGGCCAGGGATATGATGTGTTGTTGTTTTTTTTGTGGGCATCAGGCACCGGATCTTGCCAGAAGATCATGGGTGTTGGCCTTTGCACCTACGACGCCACCGCGACGGAAGCAGTGGAAACAATGACCACCCAGGCTGTTTTTGATGAGGGTCTCTCATGTACAAAGCAGCGCGTGTCAGTTGGTTCTTTTACTTGGTTGCATCATGATAGGTTTATGTTTTTTCCGGATCGATATGCGCACTCTTCTTTATTTGTCGTCTTCTCAGAGTGGCGTCAAAGATTCATCCCACACGTCATAGGATGGATGAGAATCACAGTTCATTTTCGCATTTGTTCATTCCATGCACAAAAATGTGCACCGCTCATTTTACGATGTTGCAGGTGGCTGTTGCAACCAACCCTACCCACTACGGCAACCCAAGCACTGGCTGCGAGTCGGATGAGCAGGCAGTGAAAGTGCAGGGACTGTCCGGTGACTTCTGCAGTCCCAAGTGCGACAGCACTGGCAGCTGCCCAAGTGACGTGCCAAAGGGTGACACCGCCACTCCTGAGTGTGCCCTCCGCACCACTACCGGTGACAAGTACTGCGCTCTGATTTGCCAGTCTGATTCCGACTGTGGTAGCCAAGTTGCATTTCAGATGTTTGTTTCAAAGAGCATGAACGAGAGAGACAGAGAAGCTTGCACACAGACTTGTTTTCCCTTGCTCATTGACAGTAGGTATGTTGTCGCATGTTGCCATTCATGCCAGTTGAAACTTTTGGATCTCGCAAAAATAAAGTATGGATTGGGGGCTGGGGGCTGGCAACTTGCTATTAGAATGTATCCATGGTCTTGGAATAAATCGTGGATTTCCACATCCACCAGGAACCGGATCTTGCCAGAAGATCATGGGTGTTGGCCTTTGCACCTATGACGCAAGTGAGAAGTTGGCAGTCGAAACGACCATGACCCAGGTCCGATAAACATGCGTTCTTGGAGGACTATCAATGTTGACAGTAATTGTGGTGAGAAACAGAACAATTCAATCTTTGAAGCCATGGTGGTGGGACGGTGGGACACTAGTTTGTGTGTATAGTGCATATCCAATATGTGTTTGTTTCAATTTGGTTCTCATTTGTCAGCATTGTTTTTACATATATTCATATATTTTACTGGAGTACACTTTACCCATGTTCACTATAACGGGTATAGAGCATTTCACGGTGCATTTTGATCTTTCTCTTTGCAGAAAGCATCCATTCATTTGACGAAGTTGCAGGTGGCTGTTGCAACCAACCCTACCCACTACGGCAACCCAAGCACTGGCTGCGAGTCGGATGAGCAGGCAGTGAGAGTGCAGGGACTGTCCGGTGACTTCTGCAGTCCCAAGTGCGACAGCACTGGCAGCTGCCCAAGTGACGTGCCAAAGGGTGACACCGCCGCTCCTGAGCAACCAACCCACCCACTACGGCAACCCAAGCTGGCTGCGAGTCGGATGAGCAGGCAGTGAAAGTGCAGGGACTGTCCGGTGACTTCTGCAGTCCCAAGTGCGACAGCACTGGCAGCTGCCCAAGTGACGTGCCAAAGGGTGACACCGCCACTCCTGAGTGCGCCCTCCGCACCACTACCGGTGACAAGTACTGCGCTCTGATTTGCCAATCTGATTCCGACTGTGGTAGCCAAGTTGCATTTCAGATGTTTGTTTTAAAGAGCATGAACGAGAGAGACAGAGAAGCTTGCACACAGACTTGTTTTCCCTTGCTCATTGACAGTAGGTATGTTGTTGCATGTTGCCATTCATGCCAGTTGAAACTTGTGGATTCTCGCAAAAATAAAGTATGGATTGGGGGCTGGGGGCTGGCAACTTGCTATTAGAATGTATCCATGGTCTTGGAATAAATCGTGGATTTCCACATCCCACCAGGAACCGGATCTTGCCAGAAGATCATGGGTGTTGGCCTTTGCACCTATGACGCAAGTGAGAAGTTGGCAGTCGAAACGACCATGACCCAGGCCCGATAAACACACGTTCTTGGAGGACTATCAATGTTGACAGTACTTGGTGGGAAACAAAAGTTCTGTTCCGCTGTCAATTAATTCTCTTTGAAGCCATGGTGGTGGGACGGTGGGACACTAGTTTGTGTGTATAGTGCGTATCCAATATGTCTATGTGTTTGTTTCAATTTGGTTCTCATTTGTCAGCAGTGTTTTTACATATATTCGTATATGTGCAAACGGATACTGGAGTACACTTTACCCATGTTCACTTTAACGGGTATAGAGCATTTCACGGTGCATTTTGATCTTTCTCTTTGCAGACAGCATTCATTCATTTGACGAAGTTGCAGGTGGCTGTTGCAACCAACCCCACCCACTACGGCAACCCAAGCACTGGCTGCGAGTCGGATGAGCAGGCAGTGAAAGTGCAGGGACTGTCCGGTGACTTCTGCAGTCCCAAGTGCGACAGCACTGGCAGCTGCCCAAGTGACGTGCCAAAGGGTGACACCGCCACTCCTGAGTGTGCCCTCCGCACCACTACCGGTGACAAGTACTGCGCTCTGATTTGCCAGTCTGATTCCGACTGTGGTAGCTGAGTGGCAATATTCAGGGTATTTCTTTAAGATATGAGTGAGAGATAGTGGTAGCGGCGGTTTGCGACAGGCTGCCTCCTGTAGAATTTAATGTGGTTTATGGTGGTTTCTCAAGGGCCAGGGATATGATGTGTTGTTGTTTTTTTTGTGGGCATCAGGCACCGGATCTTGCCAGAAGATCATGGGTGTTGGCCTTTGCACCTACGACGCCACCGCGACGGAAGCAGTGGAAACAATGACCACCCAGGCTGTTTTTGATGAGGGTCTCTCATGTACAAAGCAGCGCGTGTCAGTTGGTTCTTTTACTTGGTTGCATCATGATAGGTTTATGTTTTTTCCGGATCGATATGCGCACTCTTCTTTATTTGTCGTCTTCTCAGAGTGGCGTCAAAGATTCATCCCACACGTCATAGGATGGATGAGAATCACAGTTCATTTTCGCATTTGTTCATTCCATGCACAAAAATGTGCACCGCTCATTTTACGATGTTGCAGGTGGCTGTTGCAACCAACCCTACCCACTACGGCAACCCAAGCACTGGCTGCGAGTCGGATGAGCAGGCAGTGAAAGTGCAGGGACTGTCCGGTGACTTCTGCAGTCCCAAGTGCGACAGCACTGGCAGCTGCCCAAGTGACGTGCCAAAGGGTGACACCGCCACTCCTGAGTGTGCCCTCCGCACCACTACCGGTGACAAGTACTGCGCTCTGATTTGCCAGTCTGATTCCGACTGTGGTAGCTGAGTGGCAATATTCAGGGTATTTCTTTAAGATATGAGTGAGAGATAGTGGTAGCGGCGGTTTGCGACAGGCTGCCTCCTGTAGAATTTAATGTGGTTTATGGTGGTTTCTCAAGGGCCAGGGATATGATGTGTTGTTGTTTTTTTTGTGGGCATCAGGCACCGGATCTTGCCAGAAGATCATGGGTGTTGGCCTTTGCACCTACGACGCCACCGCGACGGAAGCAGTGGAAACAATGACCACCCAGGCTGTTTTTGATGAGGGTCTCTCATGTACAAAGCAGCGCGTGTCAGTTGGTTCTTTTACTTGGTTGCATCATGATAGGTTTATGTTTTTTCCGGATCGATATGCGCACTCTTCTTTATTTGTCGTCTTCTCAGAGTGGCGTCAAAGATTCATCCCACACGTCATAGGATGGATGAGAATCACAGTTCATTTTCGCATTTGTTCATTCCATGCACAAAAATGTGCACCGCTCATTTTACGATGTTGCAGGTGGCTGTTGCAACCAACCCTACCCACTACGGCAACCCAAGCACTGGCTGCGAGTCGGATGAGCAGGCAGTGAAAGTGCAGGGGTTGTCCGGTGACTTCTGCAGTCCCAAGTGCAATAGCTCTGGTACCTGCCCAAGTGACGTGCCGAAGGGTGACACCGCCACTCCTGAGTGTGCACTCCGCACCACTACCGGTGACAAGTACTGCGCTCTGATTTGCCAGTCTGATTCCGACTGCGGTCCCTAAGCTGGCACGGAGGTTGCATTCCAGGTGTGTTTATGCTCGACCCGGGAAGTGTTTGGTATTTTTTCGCTAATTACTACCATTCAGTGGAGGTTTAAAAGAGACCGGTAGCACTTAGTGGAGGTGATTTGTGGTGTCCCAAAATAGAATTTGTGAAAGCCTTCGAAATGATTGAGAAGCCATTCCGTAGAGGATCTCCCAGAGTGCATTGGGTTTTTGTATATGGTTTTAGTTGAGTGCGAGGTTCCCTCAGCTTGTTTTCAAATGGGGTGCTCTACTAAATTGTACGGTCATGTTCAGCATCCATGATATATATATATATATACATATATGATAGGACGCATCAGGTAGTTCAAGAATCTGGCTGAGTCAGAAAATGAACTTTGCCCATGGCATTCCATTTAGTTCAGCAGCTTTGCTGCTGGTTAAGTGATGTTAAGTGCACGTCCATGGAATGGTCGAAGAATTTGGTGATGGCATGAACCATTTCCAGTTTATCTGTGAAATTAGTCAAATCTGACACATGTTTGTATGTAGATTGCCTGTCTACCTCCTACCTTCAGTTTACTCATGTCAAAAAACCTTGCTTTTCTTCAGCAACGATTCCGGGAATGCACATCTGAAGCTTAATTCATCTCAGTTTGTTATGTTTGTTTCAGCCCGCCATTCTCTTTAACACATCCTCATGGAGCATCTTGGGACATCTTGGGTGACTTCAGAGCTTGTCCAGAATACACATGGAGTTCATCCGAGTTAGTAAATGCTATCCTGTTGTTTTTAGTGTTTTCCCAAGTTAGATCAATGGAATAACAGTTGTATTAGCTAAAGAAAAGATAGACACGTCATATATACCACTATTTTCGTAGGTTTTTACTGTTCTATTTGATTTTTATGGAATTGCCTCAGGTAGATGGAAATACTGTGATGAAAGAAATCCTGCACTAGTTGGGAACCATTGGTAGCTATTAAACGTTGTACATCATGGGATTATTTATACCAACTCGCAGGATTTCGCAACCACAGTATGACCACGCTCCAAGGCACGGGCAGCTGCCAGAAGATCATGGGCGTGGGTCTTTGCACCTACGATGCCTCGGCCGCTGCAGCTTTCCTGCAGCTTCTTCCGGCTCAGGCGGAAAGACACCCTGGCAGCCGTGGATGGTGCCAGTGTCCTGTGCGGCCTGCGCGCTGTAAGAGATTATAGAAGGTGGTGATTATAGCCGTTTATTGGGTCGACCAACTGATTAGATACGAACTAGTACTTGAATGTGTTTGCTATCAATGGGAAACTGCACTAATGAGCTAAAATGTGATTGTTTGGCAGCTGAGAATCAGCATGTTAAGCAGTTGCAGTTGCGGCATTCTTTTTTTCGATGTTTTTTTAAAATAAAACTCATGAGCCAAGTTTGTTTAATTCACGACTGGTAGGTTAACTTGGTTATGGTAGATATATTGCAGCATATAATATATCTATATACTAAATGAAGTTTATAAAAGAGTAAAAACCACTTTGCAACTGATGGGTAACAGCTTGTATAACAGCCTGCAAACAGAGACCATGTATGGTAGAATATAACTAATAACATATTGGTCACTATACCATAACTTGAATGACTTGGGTCCCCATGTGAAGACCGTTGAAGACCCTTTTTTTTGCTTCATGAGAGAACTGTGTCTAACGCGTGCCTAATAATGTTAAACATGTCATTTATCCTGACATTGCATGAGCTGGCCGACCTTTACTAGGGAGATACGTCCAATTCGGGGAATCATTCGAATGTTCTTGGACAAAATAGACCTGTTCTAAAGGGTTCCACGGGTTTGTTTTCCAGCTACTATATTGATGCAGTATCATACCAGCTAGTTGATGGGTGAATCGTTTGCCACAAGCAGAAGAGAATCATATCTAATGCTTGAAATTGAACTGTGTTTGTTTTCGTAGTTACAGGATTTTGCAAGTAGGGCTGTGTTGTGGAGGGAGAGATTTCTACCGCTTACTGACAAACGGGTGCTCCAAAAAAATGATGGTTCATCGATGTTCTTTGCGTTTACATCGTTCCCTTTCAAAATTGTGACTGTGCAGGCATATGTCATTAGATATGATTCCCAAATCATCTACCATATAATTATCATTGTCATATACATAATTTCGAGACAAACCCAAATCATAACCTTGTTCATTTGTGCCACTAGTATCCCATTCTATCTCATTACCATTCTTTCCCATGAGAGTCCAAGCATAACTCTGTGATATTCTCGTAAATCTTCCGTGTTGCCCCCCCAGTTATAAGTTGGTTTCTAACTTGCAAGGCCAATTCATTATAGATTATAGTTTTAGCCATTGTAAACCTTAGCTGTGACAACCGGACAACCCCAAAAAGTGATGGAAACATCAAACAATTGAGGAACAAATTATCAAATTACCATTCTAGAAACATTGTTCAATTTTTCCGTGTTGCTATACATTAGTGTTATTTATATAAACCAACTTAGTTCCAAAGTGGGGCTCCCAAACAATTAATAGCTAACTTGGTGAACAGACCTCCAATTTTGCTATGTGTTATAATGCTTGCAACATCTCACATCTCACATCACATCTCGCAACGGGGTGAGCCTTAACCAGCGTCCACATTTGACGGCGCCAGGCAGCGACGTCTCATTTTGTCGTTTGATTTTCGTGAGGCGGGCAGCGCAGTGTTTCGAGTTGAACTTTGGATCCATCGGTCCGAAGCAAATCGCCATGGTTTATGTAATGTTACGTATCATTGGAGGGCTACCGCACCACATGATTCCCGTATTTCCATTAGGGGCCACAATTTTTTTGGTATCGCATCATGAGTTTCAAGACATCGGCATGGTTTCCCAGCGACAATGTATATGGTTTTCAAACCACCCACCTCATGTTTCTTTCGTGTTGCCCATGAGCGCCAAATTTGTACCCGTCTTCCCATGTTTTGACCGGGTTTGCCGGGTGAAATGAATCACGCTTGTATAGTGTAACTGTTTCGAAATCTGCCTAAATGACGACATGAGACTATAACATACTATAACTATAATTTGAAACGGCCATTGAAATCCGTGAAGGCTCAATTCAGCACCATCGCAACATTATCCGAAATAATTCCGTGTTTGGGTTCCAGGACCCCTTTCAATTATTGTGCCCCATAAAATGGGATAGGCAAGAATGCGATGTCACTTGTAAGTGTCGACCTCGAAAAGAAACGGGCTAATGCCAAGCAATTGTTTTTATCGATTTGCTGCTTTCTGTTGTTGCAGTCACTGGAATTTGGATCCCCACTAATTAGACAAATATGATGAAATATAGTTTTTCAATGTTGTTCACATTTTTTCAATGTGCACGGAACCTTCGTTAATGATTGCTGCATTACCCAGATGCTCCATGGTGCTGGAATATGTACCGACATGTATCCTAGAAAATCATCTAAAATCACCCAGATTTAGGTCCAATTTATATCGTACAAGCAGCACATGGGTTATATGGGTGCGGGTCCAAATTGGATACCCAAGTTATTGGATGGCTTAGGCTTAGACTTGAAAATAGACTATATAAGATCTATGGTACCCCAAGTCCTCAATTTTGACTTGGGAATCCCTGGTACCCGACCTCCATTCGACGCCGCAGGGTCTGGGCTGGGTTGGGAACCAACGGTTGATCGAACAGCGCGATGGCCCGGCCCGGTGGTTGAAAGCTCCAAGGGGTCAGGGCTGTCCTGAACAGCGGTGGCACTCGCGAGGTCGATGTTCTGACATGTATGGTTTACAATGGAAAAAATCCGATGACGATTTTGACTTTGGGAAATCCATGTAAAATCCTATTACATGGGAATTGTGCGGAGATGTTGAAGCTTGAGTGAAGACATTTGAACGACGTTGCGAGATCTTTCGTGCCGCCATAGCCCATGGATTTTGAAGTGTGCCCGCTTGTGGCCCGTCCGTGGGAGATGTTGCGTTTCAACGTGGACAAAGATATGCCGCTGGGTTGTGGGGGAACCCGAGGCGAATCGGCTTGTCGAGTCTGAAGCATATTATGGCCCCTTTCATTTTGTCATTGCCATTGCCTTTCAGTTTTGATGCAAGGTTCGATTTTTTGAGCCTTGTTGAAGGTCCCGGTTCCAAAGATAGGGGCTCATGGCATGCATACTTGGTTCGTTTCATCTTCAATATTTACCCGTGTGTGTCATTATTTCCAAACTCTCTAAAGCACTTAATTTCTGGTTGGTGGTTTGGAACATGAATTTTATGACTTTCCATTCAGTTGGGAAGAATGATCCCAACTGACTATTTTTCAGAGGGGTAGGGCTCAACCACCAACCAGATATTTAAGATAAACCATTCATTTGGGAATGGTTTATACCACCTATTTGTGGTGACTTGGGATAGTTTATTATTGTTTTACCAACCAGATAAACAATGTGTTGAATCCATGGTGGATATATTGCTGGATGAGCTTCGAAACCAATCTGCCTCCTCCCTAAGGTTCAGCATTCGTTACTCTGCCCGCAAATCTCATGGGATACCCCAAATCCATTGGCTGATCATGTGAAAAAGAAGATGCCAATTGGGCATTGGGTGGAGCCCATTCTCAGACCCAACGATCAGATTATTCATGAGATATCCCATTATTTTCGCAACATTAATCATTTATACATTGATGATCACATATGATCACCATGTCTTTCTTTTTTGTTTTGCCAGCTGTCCACTTTTGTTACACGCCGCCAGCTGTCCGCATCAAGTGAGACCTGTCCGCAACTTCGCGCATCGCCGCATCGCGTTCCTCTCATCATGTCACTGAGGATCCAAAGATCCGACGGCAAGGGATCAGGTAGGCATTTTGAAGCTGGTTGACACATTGTGTATGTTGGAAGTTCTACAAGGTGGTGCCCCCAAGATAGCATTCAGTTGGTTTATAACTCCAATAACTATGGTTTATAGGTGATATATCTATAGTTAATGGGGTTTATAAACCAAATTATAACTAG